GGTGGCAGTGCACGAATGCTGTCTTAAAGCCACCAGGATCAGCAGTGCACGTGTTACAATGAGTTACTCACAAAGCCATGTTTTTATAGCTAAACATCAAAAACTTTCATTGTTAATCTCAACAGTTCATCATCAGTTTAGGTTAAGCTAAGACCACAGAGCTATTGAGAGAAATGGTGCCTCCTGCCCAGCACCGGCCCTCACAGCACACCCACCCCTGCAGAGCCCAGCATCCATCCTCCCCAAATCAGCACCCAGATGTGAGCCAGATGTGCCACTGCTGCATGACCGAGAGCCACCACTGCCCTGCCTGCCACCCACCACGCAGTTATCTGAAAAAGATGGTTCGCAGAGAGGTTTCTGCTTCAGGTAATCTGTGAATTGTCTTCTGAGCTGTTTGTACAACAGGCAGCATCGTGGTTAATGATGGTGATTTACTAAGTGAAAAATGAGTGTTTGGCATACCTTCCTCTGGGCAGGCAGTGGCAAAGGCAGCTGTACATCAGCGCGCCACTGCTGAGCCGTGCTTCATGGGGAGGCAGGAGATTTAGTGCTCAGATTCAGTTTGTCACATGCTTCATTCTTGCCTTGACACCTAGCCTAATTGCATGTCTACAAAGGATAACCAGCCATACCCCTCCATTACCATGATATTAGGGCTGCAAACAAATTCCAGATATAATAGTGCTGATTCAAGACCAGGAAGGGTAAGCAGCGAAGTATGACACACCTGAATTTCAGCAGTGTTTTCATATCTGAGGTCTGCTGGTTGAGGAAGCAGGACTATACACTGGTTTGTTGCAGGAAGGAATCTCCCATGGCAAGCCCATAGCTCACCAAAGCATGGAGGCTGCATGGCATCGTCTAGGATTCAGCAAGAACCTTAATCAGAATAAAGACGCCTGGGCTCCCCCTCTGGCACAGCCTGCTGCGCTGTGCTGCTCCCACCCCGACGTCCCTCCCCACTGCCGGGCTGCAGCCACGGTGGCCCCACGCTCCCCTCAGCACTGATGGAGAGGGGAAGGCTGACTCCTGTGCTTCTGCAGGGGCAAAGAGTAATCAAAATGTGCAACCAGTGCCAGGGGCAGAGAGCTGCCAGTCAGGGAGGCGACAGTCACCACGCCACGCTGCAGCATACGTGTGTCCTTTGCTCCCAGGAAGACAATTGACACCCAACCTATGGTGCCCTGTCCCATCCCTCCCACCACCGTCGCACGAAGGAGCTCTGCGGCTAGCCTGAAGAGCTGGACACATCTGTTGAAAGTACATCGCCTTGGACGTGCCTTTTTCTTGTGTGTCCACTTCTCGGGGCTCACCGCTAACCCAGCTCCATGGTAGCACATCCCAAGTGACAGTACATGCACAGTAATGCTACAGCCACACGTCTGTGCTCGTCTCCTTCACCTCACAGCCTTATTGACACAGCATGAAGGCTATCTTGTAGCAAAAAAAGCAGCAAATACTCCCGTGATCCCCAACGTGCTGACATCCAGCAAAAATTAACACATTCATTTCTTCAGGCAGAAGGGCGAGCTGTCTGTTCGCATGGTGTCATGCGCCTGGCTGCAAATCCCAGGTGCCCCAGCCTCACCTGCAACTCCACGGCTTGCCATCCTCCAAGCTCCCAGCACAAGAAAGTCAGGCAGTCCACATCTACATCAAGTAAAATTAGCTTATTTGTTGTTCTTAATACACTAGGAAGGCTTCCACAAGATGTCAGCCTAACTAAATGACAACGCTAGCCTCAGGGTGCAATTCTACTTTTCCAGTGCATGCGTTTAGCAGGAAAACCAGTTCTGCTGCTGCTCAAGGAGTGGGGTAAGTGAGAAGCCCCCGAGAGGGTTATTTGGTCCTAGCCAGCTTATTCCTGAGGCAGACATGCCATTGTCCCTCTCCGTGTTGCACGTGACAATTTGGGCCATTACTTCAAAGCACCCTTTCTGGCAGAAGTCCCCAGATGGCACTCGTATGTGGTTTTCCTCAGCATGCAAGCGAGCTTTCAGTCTTGGGAGAAATGCAACCACGTGAATTTTGCGGGCAGCTGGGATTTATTCCCAGCCTATTACACCTCAACACCCCAGACAGCTCCCAAGGAACAACGTGACTATTACCGCAGAGTTCCAGACTTAAGAGAATCAGATGTACGCTTTTGGTAATATCTGTTATTTCACGACAAGTGCACATAAAAAAACATGTTTCCCTAAGAAAAGCACCCATAAAGTTCACATTAACAGTTTCCCAAACAGGAAACTCTCTGGCAAGGTGCTAAATAGCCCTTGTTTGGTTACAGGCCAAAGAATGGAGAGCTTTAGAAAGGAAGCAACTTACCATGTTTGAACATTAACTCTTAACTCTGTGCCAAATTACACAATCTTAATGTGGGAGGAACCTACCAACAGATACTGATGCAGAAAAGCAAAACGCTTCCAAAAGATACCTAAATTCAGCCTCCTGCTAATAGCAAAAAGAGGTAGCCCAGGAGAGGAGTAACATTTGACCTTATAGCCGTTGTCATTTCATTAATTACACCCTTTGGAATGTTATTTTTAAATGTCATGTTATTGTATTTAAATGTTATTAAAATTCAAATCAATACTTCAAATCAGGATTTTGCACTGGATGAGCTGCTATGGGAAGCGCAACCACAGGTACTTTGGTGCAGTAGTTCCAGACAGCTGGCAACTGACAGCTAAGGCTGGATTTCAGCTTCGGTTCTTTTCGTACATTGAACATTAAATGTGAAAAAACTTTTTAAATAGGTTTATGTATTTTTTTGCATGTATTTCTTTCACTCTAGAGCAAATGTGAAAATATTTACTATGGCATAGCAATTGAAGACATTTATCTAGCATTTCCTAATTTGCTTTATCATTACAGATAGTTACTTTCCTGATGGGTGGGGTTGTTTTGCTTTGTTTTTTGGGTGGGTTTGAGGTTTTCTTTTCGTTTGTGTGTTTTTGAAGAATTCACCTTCTCCATCCCTTTACTTCCCACTTAGCACTTCCCTGCAGTCTGCTCTGGGAAGGACAGCCCACCACAAAAAGGAAGTACCGCAGTCAGTATTACAATTATGCCACGGGACAGTGAAGGGAGAAGCAGGAAGAAAACAGCAAGTCTTAGTTTAAATAAGTACCTCTAAGGAACCAAAGCTTAATAACAAGGGTAAACAGCCATTTTATTTCAAAATCTTCTTTTGACACAATTCATCATCTTCCTCCATCAGCACAGGAAGTTTGTTATTCTCAGCTCATCCCATATCTTGAGGTTGTAAGTGATACCTCGCCTCTACAGAGCAAACATTTTCAAGTGTCTTCTACTACATTATTGCTTTATATTTCAAGGTGAAAATAAAAAAAGCTTATCCAAGTTGCTTGGAGCAGGAAGCTAACGCCCCCCTGCCCCATCCACATTGAGTCAAGGCCAGAGCAGCTCCTCCGAAAGCTTTCCTGCACATGCATGCAAAAATCCTAAAAACAAATTTAAATCAAGTCTGTTCATCTACCTTTCAGTACCAGCTCTCCCAGAGGACAGTTTGCTCTAGATAAAAGGGCAATGAACTTTTAAAGCAAGCAGCCATGACAGCACATTTGCCTCCTCCACGCTGTGCGTGCACGCTCCGGCCAGAGGCAGGCTCAGCCGTAACAGCGCGGACAGCTTTGCAGGGTCACCATTTCTGCAAATGCAGATTTCTGCAACTCTAAAACACACGGGATAACTGTTATGGACCTACCCCGCAGTGAGATGCTAACGGAAGTAATGTTCCCCCTTTCACGGGGGCCATATAACACTAGAATGTAATCGGTTACCACAAGGAAGCCCTCAAACTGCTCTGACGATAAATGTCAACCTCACGACTTCTCTTGCGCTCCAGTCCCCAGGAAAAAGCAAGTACAAAAGCCACTGTTTGGGGGGGAAAAAATAGATTTTCTAGTTTCATAACTGCATGCTGTCAAGCTGGATTCCAATGAGATTTTTCCTGTGCCCTAACGCAAGCTTTGCTTTTTCCAGAAATTTCTCATTGCTTGAAGTGTTTGCTCCTGTCCTTTTCTCCTGGGCTATGCGCTGTACTTTTTGACACACCACCTTCATCTAAATGACTGTTCTCTCCCTTTACCACTTTTGCAGGGACCACAGTCACATAGTTGTTACATGGAGCTTTAAGCTGCTAAATCCCTCTCACCTCCGTGAAAAGCTGGTGCTAACCAGCATCCTCTGTTCAAACTGTGCATACTTCGCATCTGAAAGTTCCTTTTATGCAGCGATATTTAACAGAAAACTGGCAGCAGCTAGCACTGAGGCACTTCCAACCGCAGCTCTGCGCTGCTTTTAATGCCAGCTGAATACAGCCAGTACAGATGTAGGAGGGGGGAGCGGGGTGGTGCAAGTCTTTCCTATTCCTTCTATCGTGGGGACGAAGGACTCCTACCGTTGATTTCCCCCCCCCTCTATCAGTGGTCTTTAACACGATCACAGTATGCACCACAATGCTTTAAAACAGCAAAGCTTCTGGAAAACCCAAACAAAAGGAACGTCACCAGGTGACGTCAGCCTATATACAGCCCTGTGTGGTCGCAGCGCATAAGCAAATCCATTCTTGTACCGCTTCCCTGAAAAGCTTTTCAGTAAATGCACTCATGCTACTACAGGAGCTTCTCTCAGCAATAAGCCACCCATCTGCCATCAACAAGTTAGGACTAAAGGAAGCCACAGCTGCGGAAAAAGAAAACGTGAGCTTCAATTAAACAGCTGAGCAGCCACAGAGGATGAAAACTTGTATTAAGCATTGATTTAAAAATTGCAGACCTGTCAGAGGAGATCAAGCCAGTGATTTCAAAAGGAATATTCCAAGAGAGCATCGTGGATTCAAGTTTTGCACTAATATCAAAGGACACTAAACACAGTAAATTATTCAAAGGCTACTTTACATTAGAGCCTTTTACAGACTCACCGCGTTGAGTCTAAAACTACGACTGAATGCAACCTCCAATGTACTCAAAAGAATGGGTAAGTTCCTGCGTTTCTATATACCTTGTATAATGAATGACCGGCTATGCTTTAAAGCAGCAGTTAGGTGCTAAAGCAAATTTTTCTGCACTGAACCTTATGAAAAAAAATGTTTTCCAATTGTGACACTGTAATCCTCCGTAATAGAGATAAAGACTCATCCTAAGTGTAATATCCAAGTATTCTGTGTTTCGTAGTAAGTTTTTTCTTGCATTTAGAATTAGCTTGTCGGAAATGCATGGCAATGTTATCTGCAGTGAAATCTTCCATCGTGATGTTCAAAGTATACTGATAAGGCTATCCTATCTTGTTGTTTTCCTAAATTATATTCTGCAGGCTTACATTTCAAGTGGCCATTAGGGGCTCGTATGCTGGCAGCACTATATGCAATGAGTATGGTTTTAAAAATGCTGCCTGCCTTGGGCATGGCTTGTCCACCAAAATGTCGCTGTGAGAAGCTGCTCTTTTACTGTGACTCTCAGGGGTTTCACTCAGTGCCAAACACCACTGAAAAGGGCTCGCTAGGTTTGTCACTGAGGCACAATTATATTTCTGAACTTGAAAGGGATCAATTTGCAAGCTTCAGTCAACTTACTTGGCTTCACTTAGATCATAATCAAATTGCAACAGTCAGAGAAGATTCTTTTCAAGGACTGTATAAACTTAAGGAATTAGTCTTAAGTTCCAACAAAATCTTTCATTTGCCAAACACAACTTTTAGCCAGCTGCTTAACCTGCAGAATTTGGACCTCTCTTTTAATCAGTTATCCTCTCTGCACCCCGAGCTCTTCTACGGCCTTCGCAAGCTACAGACCTTGCACTTGCGTTCCAACTCCCTGCGGACCATCCCAGTCCGCCTGTTCTGGGACTGTCGTAGCCTGGAGTTCCTGGATTTGAGCACAAACCGCTTGCGAAGTTTGGCTCGCAATGGATTTGCGGGATTAATCAAGCTGAGAGAGCTTCACCTAGAGCACAACCAGCTGACAAAGATTAATTTTGCTCACTTCCTCCGGCTGAGCAGCCTGCACACTCTCTTCTTGCAGTGGAACAAAATTAGCAACTTGACATGTGGGATGGAGTGGACCTGGGGCACCTTAGAAAAGCTCGATTTGACTGGAAACGAAATCAAAGCCATCGACCTAACCGTCTTTGAAACTATGCCTAACCTTAAAACCCTCCTAATGGATAACAACAAGCTCACCACTCTGGATTCCAAGATCCTAAGTTCACTGACATCCCTCACCACCGTGGGCCTCTCCGGCAATCTGTGGGAATGCAGCCCAAAGATCTGCGCCTTGGCCACATGGTTGAGTGGCTTCCAAGGTCGGTGGGAGCACTCCATCCTCTGCCACAGCCCCGACCACACCCAGGGAGAGGATATTCTGGATGCAGTCTATGGTTTTCAGCTTTGCTGGAATTTATCAACTGTTGTTACGCCCGTGGCTACGACGTACGCAGTTCCGACTACCGAGTACACGAAAAGAATAAGCTCTTCTCATTTCCATATGGGAGACAAAGAGATTCCAACTACAGCAGGCATGGTCGTTACCACCGAAGAACATTTCCCCGAGCCAAACAATGCCATCTTCACTCAGAGGGTAATTACAGGAACAATGGCTTTATTGTTTTCTTTCTTTTTTATCATTTTTATAGTGTTCATCTCCAGGAAGTGCTGCCCTCCCACATTAAGAAGAATTAGGCAGTGCTCAATGATTCAAAACCACAGGCAGCTCCGATCCCAAACACGGCTGCATATGGCAAATATGTCAGACCAAGGACCCTATAACGAATACGAACCCACCCACGAAGGACCCTTCATCATCATCAACGGCTATGGACAGTGCAAGTGTCAGCAGCTGCCATATAAAGAATGTGAAGTATAATACCTACATGCCATCAAAAATTAAATCAGATAAGTAACCTATTTTAAAATTGTAGGGGACCTACATCAGATTCTAATTTTTACAAACGTTGACATAAAGCCTAATTTTCCAAGCTACTTAATGGAAACATTGTTTATGGAGTGGTGCAGTATTTTTAAGTTTTTTAAAAAATAAATCCATAATATTTTCAGTGTTAAAGAAGCAATGATTACATTAAACTTGCACTCCTAATGTTTAAAAGTCTAAAAAGATGCTCACCTCAAACTATGTAAAGTGTTTCATGTTACGTAATTATATGACTGTGTGTAAACATTTCTACCCAAGTCTCCATATTCTACTTTTTCTAATGAAAACAGTATGAGGGGAAGGATACTGGATATCTGTACAGAGATCTGCAGGGGGGCATACGCTCCGTTTGTTCCACTGCAGCTGTAGGATCCCAAACACTCCAGCTGTTCCATTCACTTTAAAGGCAGCCGTGGAGGAAAATTTTCCTCCTCTGATAATTTCACTCCAGTAAAAAAGGGGAGGGGAAACAAAAAAAGAGCAACGAAGGACTGTTAAATCCCAGGTGGGGATTTAAGTGCATTGGGGACCGGTGAATTTATTTTAAATACAGTTTTCCTATCTGCATTCACAGTTGGGCTTGCTTAAACAGTCCTCGCTAAAGCTCACAATGGATACAGAAAGGAGCAGTTCACACGGTCACAAATTAGCAGGACGACTCTCCAGGCGCTTACAAAGTAGGCAGCTTAGCTCATTTAGGAAGGCTCAGTACGACAGGATCAATTCTAAATATTAAGCGCATTCAATTCTTATCAGCTCTCTGGTTTGACTTGATGATGCTTTTCATGAATTCAGGCTAATTACTTAAGACTATGAATAAATAGCATTTCAACACCTTTTCATGTGTAAATACCCTTAATGCGAGTTTTTCTTAATTAAAAGTAAATATCAACCGCGAGGTTAAGGAGAAGAGGGAAGGAAGGAAGAAGCCTCTCTTTGTCCCCCCGCTGCCCCCCCAGCTGAGGCTTCCTCTCGCCTGGAAGCTATTTTCACGCACTAACTCCACTGGTTTCTCTGGAGACAGAATTAGCCCCTGTAATATAAGCTCTCACTTATCCACCTCTTCCAAAATTCAAGGTAATTACCAGTTAAAAAAAACCAAACCCGTATCTTCTGATAAGTTAGGAAAATAATTAGTTTATAGAATAGTTCACTGAAAAATGTTTTGTTTCTTACTTGATATGGGACAGAATCTAAACTAGTATGCCATTTAAAAAAATCATATATAAATATATATACACACACGCACCTCATTCTTAAGGAGTAATTTGATTTCTTTAGCCAGAAGTACCATATTGCTATTTATACTGTATTATGAAATTATATGTAAATATTTGCAGATCTATGCAGCGACAGTGGTACTCAGATGCCACGGGGGCGGGGTGGGGGGGTCTGCAAAGGATTACATTATTTTTAAGTCAACTGCTCAAATATTGTAAACGTTCTAACCAAAGCTAAAAGGACCAGAGGGATGGAAATTTTTTATATATATATATACACACACGTATGTGTAACTAAAAAAAAAAGGGTTGTGCCCAATGCTGCAGTGTTAAACAATTACCAGCACACACGGATGAAGAAAAGAAATTCCTCACAGTGTTGACATACCTTGAACAAATCGGTAATTACAGTATGCTAATTGTGTTGTACTAAACTATTCCGCAAACTTTTTAAACAGAAAAATCACTGCATAAAAATCTGTTTGCTATTTCACTCTGCTTTTATATATCTGTATTACCACTTAGTGAGGTATTTAGGGTGCAATTATACAAGTTCGATGTTTTATTGTGAAATGAATTCGTCCAAGGCAATTATAGCAAGATAAGTGTGACTTCTGTTAAGATTTTACATAAAGATTTTTCAATTACTGGTTTTGAAGATATTAATTTGCATCATTTTACTTTTACATACAGTGCCCTTATTATAATACAAGTATTTTGTTTACTTCCTGTGACTCTGTACGTTAATGGAAGAGATTCAGTGAAGCCTAATAGTTTTCCATAGAGATAACTTTGAACCCTCGTAACTGTTTATACTACGATGAGCCATTTACACCTATTCTAGGAAATCAATTACTGCTTTTAACTGAATACAATAAATCCTGCAGGACAGGTGGACAAAGAGCAAATATTCTGTATGATTAAATCCCACGTAAGGCAGAAGGCCAGACCTAAGCTAATAAGTACAAAAATGTACTGGTATCTAAGGGTATTTAGCTGCTTGTAGAAAGACTTGCTTCATTCCTTATCACGAGTAAGTGCTCACAGCTCTTCCCTTATGTCCAGGCTTTTGCTCTCCTCTGGGCAGGCGAGCGTGCATCACTGTCTCAGCAGCAACCTGCCCTTGCCTGTGCACCTCCCTTACCTTGTGTTAACTAACACGATGGTCTGCACCGGGTGGAACTGGAAAGCAGACGCTTTTGGGAATGATTTTCATGTACAGCTGTGGGGTACCAGCAGAGACAAAAAGTTATAACTGAACTCATTAATTATACTGGCAGCCAATAATCTTGCTACACTATCATCAACCATCAGATGTCAATACAGAACTCTGGTGTCCTCAGCTGCATTTGCAAGAAGGAATTCCACCTTTCTCCTCCACGCCCAGCAGAAACCCTTGCTGCAAGACAGTTCAAAAGGTACCACGACAGCCTTCTGCACAGTAACGAGAAGTGGCCGCCTGACTGAAGCGCTGAGGTTCCTCCCGAGGAGGTGCTTTCCCAATACCCCAGCTCTGCGCAGAAGCCCACTCCATCTTTATTAGCTTATAATTATGCCCAAGAAGAGTAAAGACAGATGTTCCAGCAATGCTGGATTTAATCCTCTTCTCCACCCCAGCCACTCATACCAGTTTTCCAAGCATTAAAGCACTGCTCCAGTGTCTCTCAAAGCAAACACACCCAGGCGCCCAACTTCTCTCCCCCACCAGTATCCCCAGTTTCCACTGGTCCTGCAGTGCTGCCTTGGTTTGCAGACCACGAAGCAGGAGGCCAGCAGACACAGCCTACCATGGCACTGTTCAATTTTACTTTGATGCTCTGTACTACACGCTAATACACAGCCAATCTCCCAAATGCCATGCTTTATGCCTGCCATTTCCAAAACCATTTGTTGCCAGGTTCCAGGCGTAGGCAAAGCAATTCTGCAAACATTACATTTAGGGTAACAGGTATCATAAAACTCACAGAATGTCAGACATTAACAGTGAAGTCAACTTGAATTCCCTTAGGAGGGACAGCAAACAGCAGGCAAAGCCATCACTCTACACAAGGACACGACCAGAGGCTGTTAATTTTTTATTTTTATTTTTTTTTTTAAAAAAGTTACTGTCTTCCATTCTCAATTGCTGTTTTATTTATTTTTTTTTTTTAAAAGTTACTGTCTTCCATTCTCAATTGCTTGTGACTCTTCTAGGCAAGGAGGGCATTGTAATAATTGCATCACTCGGCAGTCTGATTTATTTTGTTTACGGAACAAGAACCACGATGATTTGGTTTAAATTCATCATATTTCAGTATGAGCACTGGCTGATGCCAAGAGGTTGTTAACTTGCTCTCTCCAAATATCATCTCTGTTGCACAGCCTCAGTTTCTACAGATACTAAATGGCATTATAGGTGCTTCACCACCTCTGGGCACAGCCTCATGCAAGTGTTCAGGGCTTCTTAAAAATGAAAATTTTTTCTACTGCTCTTGAGATCCTCATCCCATCCAAAGATCTCCTCCAGCCTCACTGATCTCCAGCCAGCTTTTCCTCCTCCCCACCCTTGCATCAGTGAAATGCAAACCTTGCAGCACAAGTTCAATTTTTGAGTCATCATACTGGAACAGGTCTGAATTAATGCTTTCAGTTCCCCTCTCGTTAGTCGCTCTGCATTAGATCATCGTTTAAATGCACACAACTAAAAATTACTCAATAAAGAGTAAAATGGGTTAGCGTTCAGTCTCCGGCTGAAGTGTTCCTCTGCACAGAGCTCCCATTTTCTATCAGATGGAAACATAATTAATGCCACTGTATCAATGTTTGTTTTTGTTTGCTTTTCCCCCAAGCAGAAATTATCTGATTTTTCAGTGATAAGCCTAGCCTGCATGCAAATCTAAGCATCTGAGCTTATGTCCCATTACCCCCCTTCGAAGACAGTGGCCTATTGCTAACATGTAAAATCAGAAGTATCCAGTGGCTTTAAACCAGAAATCTGCACTTCACACTTATTTTTAATGTGTCTAAGTTAATTTCTGTACTACTTTAATGAAAATAAAGCTGATTTAATTTTGTGATCTGCGTAGCTATCAAAATCCATCTGTTCAGACCTATGAAATCCACCCAGAAGCTGAATTTCATCTTTCTTATGACATTTTCCATAGAAAATAAAAGTTCAGAGGGGGATACAGTATTTCTCCTCCCCCAAAAAAAGGAACAAGCAAGGAAACAAGAAAAATCAAAGGCAGTTACACAGCAGCAGCTCCTCCCTCCCCCCACCTTTCTCCATTGCAGAGTCCTGTACACTAGAACTGGTGCCAGGCTTTGCTTTTAAGCCATCACACTAGCAGGATGCTTAAAGATCATTTCAGAGTCATCTGGAAATTCAGCATTTCACACCTTGTATAAAAACCTTTTGAGAGGTATCTAGGGAAAGGTAACGGAAGCTTTGATGGATATCATCAAGCCTCAGACAGGGCAAAACTTGCGCTATCTAAGGGCAAAACACCATGCAGCTTGTGCACCTCTGGTGTAAGCAATGAAAAGCTGCACCTGCTATCCTTCAGCCACTCCTTTGTAAACAAACAAATAAAACCCACCCCATTTTTCTTTTTACCATCATGAAAACATTAGTGAGTGAACTATTCTACCAGCTTAGCAACCAGAGATCAAAAAGAAGGAGTCTTAGATGCATTGTATTTAAATTGTGTTTAAAGAGCCACTTTCTGGTGGGAG